TAATAGGCAAGTCTAAAGAGATAGAAAGGCCATCAGTCATTGCCAGGGATGGGCATGGGTTGAATAATGGAGATGGGCTATATATAGGGTTCCTTTTGTGGGTGACAAAATATATCTTCAAAAATTAGATAGAGGAGATGGTGACACACCTCTGTAAATATACTAGAAACCAATGAAGTGTGTATTCTCAATGGGTGATATATACAATGTGTGACATATCATAATAAAGGTGCTATCATAGCTTAGTTTTTAAAATTTTAATTATACTTACATTACAGTTCAATATTACTAATCTGTCACTGAAAATATAAAGTTTATAGATATATGAAGGATTTCCTCCAATTATAGGATTCTAAATTGGCTCATATAAAACACTTTACAATATTTTTAATGAAGATAAAAAATTATCAAAGAAGTATTACAAAGAAAAAAAAGGTCAAAATTATACAAAATTAAGCAAGGTCAAAACTGGTAATTTAGGAGACATAATTAATTTTCTAAAATTTAGCTAAACACTTATACAACAATATTTAAATAAAGCTATTTGTTTTATACAAAGAAATGCCCTAACACAGTAGAGTCTCATAATACTTTGGCAAACACCAATGTGATGCTTTAGGATTTTAATGCGTTGCTAACAAATTTTCCAACTCAGGCAAGTTTGGAAATGTCTTCATATTGAATTCCTTCAACTCTGCGTCCTTTCAAAGGGCCAGTTTCAATGACTATAGTTGCTGAAAAAGTCTTTTCATTGATGGATTCTAGAGTTCCTTCATTTCCTCTGTAACCTCCATTTAAAACTAGAATTCTTTTTCCTGGTGCTGGAATTACTGTCTCTAAATGAGTCTGGTCAAGTTTCAGCTTGTCTCCAGAATCAATCATCTTTACAACGGCTGTGTATTTGTCAATTACTTCCTTAACAATACCCTTTTTCTTATGGTATTTCTCTCCAAGTTTTTTTGTTATAATTTTCACAACGATTTCAGGTTGTAGCCAATAGTCTGTTCGAGAAGTTCTTTTCTTTTCCTCTTCAATCTCCATGATTTCATCCAGTGCTGATGTCTTTTTCTTCTTTTCTTTAGACTGAGCTGAGCTCTGGGAAGATTCTTTTCGTTTCACTGATGCCGTACTCCCGAGAGTCTTCAGTGCACTTGGCCCCAAGGAACTTGATTTGGAAGATGCTGCTCCTGCTGAACTGCATGCGCCTTTATTCAGATTAAATGTAACTTTCTCTTCATCATTTTCTCTGCTTAATTCCGTAAAGACAGGTGCCTCCTGCTCCTTCCCTTCCAGACCTCTTCGCACTTGTTCTTCAATAAATTTGGCAGTTTTTTCTTCGTCATCAAGGTCCTGCTTCTTCTTCTTCTCTAGCTCCAGCTGCCGGCAAATGGTCTCTGGGTCCCTGTCTATGTATTGAATATACCAGCCTTTGGGGGGTCTCATCCACTTTGCACAGGCCTTCTGTGCCCAGCCATTTAGTAAAATCAGTCAAGGTTTCCCACTGAGTAGCATTCATATGGATGTGCTCTCGGTGGCTGATGTACTCATTGTAAACAATATTGTTATGGACTCGTTTGGTGCCAAAGCGTCTCCTGAGAAGTTCTAGAAAGTCATTGCGGAATTCCTCTGAAAAATAATCCATAAACTGTTGAGGATTTTCTGAAGCCAGCAATAGTTGTCTCTGATGAGATTCTGACATACAGTGACATTTAAATCCATTCTCGTCCCGGCACTGCTTCTGACACATCTGGCAATACCAGCGCAGCTTTTGAAGCCCTTTGGATTTAATCCTATTAGCGATGGCGTTGGGGGTAAGAAAGTCTGACTTCCCCATCGCGACCACTGAGACGACCACTTCGGGAGAAGGGAGCCCAACCCTCTTGATGCTATTATTAAAGGTATTATTTTCCTAGTTTCTCTCTGTCAGTTTATTATTAGTGTACAGGGACCCTGTTGCTTTTTGAGATTTGACTTTGTATCTCAATATGCTGCTGAATTTTGTCATAAGATCTAGGAGTCTTTGGTGAAGTTTTGGGATCTTCTGTGTAGAGGATAACGTCATCTGCAAATAATGAAAATTTTGCTTCTTCCTTTCCTGTCCTTGTCCCTTTTATTTTTGTCTTGTCTAATGGTTCTAGCTAATGTTGTGAAAATTACATTGAACAGTAGTGACAGTAGACCTTCATATCTTGTTTCTGATTTTAGAGGGAAATATTTCAGCTTCTCTCCACTTAGTATGATGCTTAGTATTGATTTATTTATCTAATTCTGGCTTTTATCAGATTGAGATAAATTATATATATATATTTGCTAAGGATAGGCTCAAATTTGTCATCTCTCCTGTCTCAGCATCTCAAGTGCTGGGATTACTCAAGTGCTGGGATTAT